GGAGCAGTCGGCTGTTGAATGTCGCGAATTTGCTGAGAAGTGTTGGGTTCTGGAAGCTGAGCGGCTGGCTCTTCCTGGGCAGGAAGCGCTGATAGATTAGGACGTTTACTGTATTGAGCTGCGACGTCAAGGTCTTCATCATCAACGGGCCGCGTCTCGTCATCTTCGAAAAGTTCATCTATGTTACCACTCATGAACCCCGAATCTTCAAAGTGTCGAGCTTGAGTTGTCTGATTCGGACTCGAAGGGCACGTCGAAGTCCCACGATAAACGGGCGGAGACGACGCAATATCCACCGGTGAACTCTCGGCTTGACTTGCTTCTGGAGATGTCATCGCAGATTCCGCTAACTTCACATTCGCACCCACGGGATCATACGGAGAAGCATAATCTTTTCTGGCAATAGCAAAAGACTCACGGCGAAGATTGCTTATGGGCACGGGCAGCTGAGGTCTCTGCATGCGATTGGAAGAATCAGCTATTGGGGTGGGCACTCTTGGCGGACCCTCCAGCGAATTGGCTAGGCTGTTGTTTGGACGCACTGCAGTCGGCTGATGGATCCGTATCGATGCTGCAGTACTCGCCGCAACCCTTAGAGACTCGGGCTGCCTTCCAAAATCAGTGTTGCCGGACCACTCTGCTTGCATGATTTTTGCTCTTTTCTTATTTGGTCCATCCTCAAATCGCTCGTCATTGCTTGCGTAGCTAGTATCCACAGAAGCCTGCCTAGTAGCGGTTTTCACACGGCTCTTTCTGGGATTGGGACCTGGAGGCCTCCCTCTCCTCTTCTTCGTCGCTGCGGACGCTACACTTGAAGCCGGGCTCGGCATCCGAGGGATTTGCCGTGCTGCATCGGAGATTGCATAGTTGTTGTTCTGAGGTGCTAAACGTTGTGGCTCGGGTTTTGCCTGTTGGGTGCTTTGCGACTCGATGGTTCTTTGCCGGTAGCCTTCGCCACTTAGCAGCCGCTGCACATGTTCAATGCCAAATCCACTAATCTGTCCCTGCCCCACCGCTGGAGACTGACTTCGGCTCTTGTTTGCAAGCTGCCAGATAGCAGGGTTTGCTTGTACAAATAACGTCCAAGCTTGAGGGTCGAAACCTTCAGGCATCATCTGACTTATGTCCCTATACTTCTTCATGCTTTCGATGTATTCGCTCTGCAGCGATGTTGGCACAGGAACTAAGCGTAACTTTACTTCAAGGGTCTCTTGTGAATTGCTGGAGAACAGTCCAAGAAGATTTTTGCAGACACGTCCAGTGACAATAGTGCGAGATTGGTGAGCAGGAGCGGAAGGCGTCGAGGACGAAGATGCAAGAACCCATGAAAGCATCCCTTGGCCGACAAGAGGTGTCTCGTATTCTGAGTAATCGTACGCATAGACGGTGTAATCCTGGCCAAGTGCCGCAACTAATTCTGGGCTAGCAGCCACAATAGCTTGGATGCATGTCTTCAACTCGATGACCCCAATCTGTGTGTTTTCATCGAGATATGCTGTTCGAATATCGAGAGGCTGCGGCCATCGTGCCAAGCAATTCGTCTTGTTCTCGTTGTCGAAAGAGTAAAGCACCTTGACTGAAATCAAAACTTTCAGCATGCTTACAATCGATCATGGACTGTTTTGATATACTTACGTCTCATTGAGCGTACGGTGACATCGTCGGAGCTTTGAGACGGTCCTGAAGGCTGAGATTGAGGCCGGGGTGGTGCTGGAGAAGACGCGGCTCCCCTGAGAGGCCCATGTTCTGGCATTGTGGAGCCGGTGGACATTCAATCCCCACACAGCAGATGCTAGAATTGAACGTCATCCATACAAGACGAATGGCAGTAATCGTGAACCCCGAGGTGTCCGAGAATCTTGAATATTTGCCAATCAAAGTGTTGATGACGCGCTTTGGTATCGTTGAAGACGGAGTGGAGGTAGATTTGTAGATAAGTGAGGAGGATTTGGGGGGCAATCGGTACTTATGCCAGCCTGCAAGAGAGATTGGAGCGAATTGGGCCGACTTGACCTCGTTGAGGCTGCAATTCAAGGACTTGAAGAGCGTGTATCTTCGTACACGCGCCAAAGCTTCAAGACGTGGGGGACATAATCCAATGAGTCAGCAGGGCTGAGCTAAGCTCGAACCAATGAAACTCTAGCTTTAAATCTCAGGAACATCTTTGAGTCGATTACCTTCACACGACGAAACCACAGTGCAGTGAGTCCTCCCTTTATAGAAGATGGCGGACGCAAAGATCCAGTATGTGACTCATCCACGTGCTTTATGACGTCAGCTCAAGTAGTCGAGGCTAACAACGCTACAGAGACTTGTTGAACAAGCCTCGTATGGAGCTCACGTACGTCTACCTTGCACCCATCTAATTCTACTCAGCGGCTCCTCTTCTTTCCGCTACCGCCGCTGCTGCCTGGCCAATAATGAAGTCATACTGACAATCACGCAGCGAGTACGAAATCTCCGTCCTTGAAGAGCACGAGTTCACCTCCGGCCCACTCTCTATCCTACAGACCGCCGTCCGCTCGCACACCCAAGTCCTGATATCTTGCCGCAACAACCGGAAACTGTTGGCGAGGGTGAAGGCATTTGATAGGCATTGCAATATGGTGTTGGAAAATGTGAAGGAGATGTGGACAGAGACGCCTAGGATATCAGGGGGAAAGAAGGGCAGGCCAGTCAACAAGGACAGGTTCATAAGCAAGATGTGAGCACTTCCCCAGTCTCCAATGATTGGTGGTCATGAGAAGGAGAGTAACGCTGGTTTCTAGGTTCCTGAGGGGTGATTCGGTAATTCTGGTGTTATTAAGTTGATCTGCTCAAAGCGTTCAAAAGCACAGTATGATACAGACTCCCACGATATTCCGACAGCACTCTTACAGGGCTCCCGCAATGCCGGTCAGGAATATGCTCAGTCCATGGGCTCCTGGATCTGGTACTTCTTCGAATCCTGTACCACCAACATAAACAGATCTCCCCAAACTTGCTTTCATTCCTTTCGTCTTGTCGGCGCCCTCCTTTGCAGCCTCGGCAGCTTTCTGAACATTCCCTGTCTTCTTGAGCACATCCACAAATGGAGCCAAGGCATCCATCAAAGTCCGATCTCCCGGTTGCGCTGGGGTATATTTGCCGAGGCCTTCGATTGACATTGCAAGAGCTTTCGCCCAGATTTCTGTTGTGACTGGAGTGGGCGACGACGAATCCTGACTTCTCACGTTGGAAGCCAATGAATTGAGGAAGATGGCGTACAGAGCGCCAGAAGTGCCATCCATGTTCTGTTCCACAGTCGGCACAATCTTCGCGAAAGTCATCATGGCATCGTGGGATGACAAGCTAGGCAGCACCCTGAGGACTGCCTCCGCTCCACGTTTGAGGCCGAGACCGCAATCGCCGTCTCCAACGACGCTATCGTATCTGGTAACTTCGGCCTCGGCCGCTATGAGCTTATTGAGTGCAGGCTCCAAGGCCTTCCGCAAACTCGTTGGATCGACTGTGCGTTGTCAGTCTGCGAAATCCTTGCACGAAAGGATGTGACTCACGCTTCAGATTGCTTGGCTCTGTCTCATCTTCCTCTTCTTCGGTCTTCTCTGGTGCCGGCTTATACGTCTTCTCCCACGTATCCCCTGTCACACACCTCGGCCACCCTATCGCATTCACGGGTGCGTCTATAAGGTCGAGTAACGACTTACCTGTGCCAAGGCCTGTGTCCGCCAATCTGAGAACGGAAACAATGAAGCCAGGTCCATCCAGGCTTCCAAAAAGCGTTCCCGATATTATTCTCCGGGGCTTCAATTCATATTTATTCTCCAGCTGTGTCGTGACTTCGGCTGTGATGGCGCCAAGTTCCAAGTTGCTCACTCCACCAAAATTGTTGATCAGCAATACTGTCTCATCGGTCTTAACCATTCTCACATATGCCCGGTTTTTGTCGCTTTGATCGAGCATTTGGCTGAGCATGATCTTCACTAAGCCTGGCAAATCTGTTTTGACTTTCTCGCATCCAGGTTCATTGTGTATTCCCATCCCAATCTCTACCAGGCCTGGTCCCAATCTCTCTTCTTCTTCCCTTGCTTCTTCGATGCCATGTCCGGGCACATGCACCCTGCTCAAACTAGCTCCCAGACTGACCAGGTTATGGACCACCAGCCTTCCCACCCTCGCACAATCCTCCAGCCCAACACCCCGCTCAGCTAACGCGCCGCAGATCTTCACCACCAACGCCGTTCCTGACAAACCTCTTCGGCCAACCTTACCCCCTTTCGCGCGCCCGACGCCCACATCATCCCCTACGACTACCATTTCTACCTTCTTCCCCAACGCCCGCGCCTTTTCAACCCCCATGCCGAAGTTCAGCACATCACCTGTATAATTCGTCGCGATCACAAGCACACCTTTGCTCTCCGGCGGCAGCCTATGCTGCAAGCACGTTCTCACTTGTTCAGCGCCTGGAGAAGCAAAAATGGTGCCGGCGACGCAAGCAGTGAGGAGACCGTCGCCTACGAAGCCAGCGAATCCGGGTTCATGGCCAGAACCACCGCCGCAAACGACGGAAACGTTGTGAGGTTGGGAGAGAGAAGAGGGGTTACGGTACACAATTTTGTTGGGAGTGTCGAGCAGCAGAGATGGATTTGTCAGGGTGAGGGAACGGAGGGAGGAAAGTACGGCATGGGTGGGATCGGTGAGGTAGTGCTTTGCTGCTGGGACGAGATGTCAGCACCAGGGCAATTGGGAAAGAGATGTGCTACAGCCCCGTGAACGACATACCAGACATGTTTATGAGAGCCAATATGGATAGCCGTTATGAAAAGGAGAGTATGGAGAGAAAACGGGAGGCATGAGGCAGCAAAATGTCTCTTCCTTCAAGCCATGGCGGGCCATTTGTCTCTCGAATGCGGGGAAGATGTGGGGCTCGTGGGGCTCAAGCAGCTCTCGGCAAAGCTTCCCCATTGGTTACATCGACGTAATGACATCGAGTCTCAGGTACTCTTTGCTTCTATCTATCAATGTATGTCATCGCGTTGACTCGACCTTCTTTTGCTAAGCCGTTGAAAACTCTAGCAGCTAGTGTACATTATTTCCGTGCATCCCTGCTGATGGACCCATGCTGACTTTGCTCGAAGCTTGCCGTTACACGCGCGATGCATATCCAATCGATACCCATGTGTAAGATGAACGGCTGGAGCATTACCTCCTGAATTGAACTTGACTAAAGTACATTGGTCTTCTAGGGACTGGATCTAGCAACAATTACGCCTATCTTGTGAGAGACGACAAGACGAATGATGCCGTTATCATTGATCCAGCGAATCCGCCGGAGTGTGTTCGGTCCTATGGAAGCCATGGGGCCATTGTCTGACAAATTCTTGCAGGGTAGCTCCTGTAGTCAAGGAACAGGTTGATGCTGGGAAGATCAACCTGACTGCGATAGTGAATACTCATCAGTGAGCCTGGCTCCACCCAGTAAGCCAACGAAGATACTTATACACATGCCACAGCCACTGGGACCATGCTGGAGGAAACAAGAAGATGGTCGGCGATTCATTTGAATAGCTACAATCCATTACTTACGACTCCGGTTAGCTCGCTCAATTCAAAGACCTCCCCGTCATCGGCGGCAAAGACTGTGAAGCAGTTACTCGGACACCCAAACACGACGAGACCTTCAAGATCGGTTCCGGAATCACAGTCAAGGCTTTACATACGCCATGCCATACACAAGACAGCATTTGCTGGTTCATGGAAGACGATTCAGAGAAGGTGGTTTTCACTGGAGATACATTGTTTATCGGAGGTTGGTAAATTCCAGGCTTGAGATGGGACTGAACGCGATATTGATGAATGGTGTCTAGGGTGCGGAAGATTCTTCGAGGGTACCCCAGCTGAGATGCATACGGCGCTGAACAAGACGCTGTCGGCGCTGCCGAATGATACTAAGGTCTATGTGAGTATTCGCGAGTCATGGAACCAAAGGCTGGGATGCTGATCGAGTAGCCTGGCCACGAATACACAAAGCAGAACGTCAAGTTCTTGGCTAGCGTGCTGCAAACAGAGCCCGTGAAGAAGCTGCAGACCTTTGCAGAGAACAACGAGCAGACGCAGGGAAAGTTTACGATTGGGGATGAGAAGGTAGGATTCAGGGTCCTTGCTTCCTACATACCGAAGGCTGATCAGGAAAAGGAATATAATGTGTTCATGAAATTAAATGTGAGCGGTTGCCTTTGGGCATGAAGGCAATGAATCTGTGCTAATCTGCCACAGGATCCAACCGTTCAGAAGGCAACAGGCAAAACAGATGCTGTCGATGTCATGGAGGCGCTTAGGGAGATGAAGAACAGCATGTGAATACAGTAAAACTCAATTGGTCTGCGTTTCTCCGAATTTGGGTATATGACTGATTTGGTATCGATGGATAGGCCTGCGCCAGAAAAAGCGAACTTGTAATATTCAACATTAGCGGGTTTGTGTACTATCACACTCAAAACCTCATAGAGATCCTCGGAATATTCTTCTGAGACTTGCAATATGTATATTAACCCCTCATGACGTCAGTTCGTTTTGGGCAGCTCTGCAGTCCTTAGATGTCTTGCTCTTTTGCTTGATCAGTTCATTCCCAATTTCCATATACTTTCCACAGATGCACAACACTTGGACTAGGACAATCAACAAGCCAAAACTCACTCGATTGTGATTTTCAAAGCCGCTCTTGTTTGCACAAAGGTTCGCTAGCAACATCTTAGCAATCCAGAAAATCGCGTCATCATCTTCGTCATGAGTGCAACGGAGAACGTCACGAACGACGCCCAAGGGAATCCAATCACGACGAAGAGCCAAGTGCTAGAGACAGGGGCGGCAGCCGGACAGGTCTCGACATTCTGTCACTCTAGAGAGATCTTACCTACTAACAATTCGCGCCTCGTCAGAGTTTCGGCCCCATCAAAGCTATATGCGCCCATCTTCATGCCTTCCATGTCTACGCCTCTGACCCTCAACGTTGCGTTGAGGCAAACCACTACTGCTCGCACCTGAATGAAGGTAAGCATCGATCTTTACTTCTCATTCTTCACGTCTCCCAGCTTCGCACATTGCTGACATATCGGCCCACAGACGTCCGCCAATGCCTCATCTACGATACCCCTGCGCCCAACGCCCGTCTTATTGGCGTCGAATACATGATCTCAGCCACCCTCTATAAGACCCTGTCACAGTCCGAGCGCAAGCTCTGGCACTCTCACGTCTTCGAGGTCAAAAGCGGTATGCTGATCATGCCGGGGCCGGAAGGATTGCCAACGGGAATATGGGAGGAGGCAGAGACCAAGGAGATGGAGGATGTGGTGGGGTTGTATGGGAAGACGTATCATTTCTGGCAGGTGGATAGAGGGGACAAGTTGCCGTTGGGAGGGCCGGAGTTGATGATGAGTTTCACGGGTGAGGGACAGCAGGAGGGGTTGAGTGAGTTGATTGGGGAGAGGGATAGCAGGTTCAAGGTCTCGAGCAAGCAAAAGAGGGACAAGAGGGCGTATATTGAAGAGCCAGAGGTTCATGAGGGTACGGGGGATATGCGAGATTTTTCGTGATTGTGTACGCTGACAACCATGATGCAGATGCGGATCGCGTATGGAAGGACTCTTCCGCCAGCGAAGACAGCAAACAGCAACCCGCTGGCGCCACCAGCGATGAGACTTCTCTCCTCAAAGGTATACACCTCTTAACATCTTCCGCTCTAGACCACCGCTTAGCTGACATTTCCCAGGCACCCACTCACCCACTTAAACTGTCCCCTCTCACTCGCGGATCTCGTACGATTGTAACAACATGTTTCCTCCAACTCCCCTCTACCAAGCAAAAAGCAAGGCGTCGAATCCATTGAAGGGCCGAGCGGGGGCCGGAGGAGTCTTGCAAGCAAGATGGGTTTCAATTTTGCTTCACTGTCCACGCCTGCGCATCCTGTAAGGTGGTGATGGCAGGTTCTAGCTATCTTAGAAGCGTTGAGAGAGATGGTACGACATGAGACATATGAAAACAATCATGATCCACATAGAATCTGGGCTTATAAGCCAATGCGATGGAATGAGACACATGGAAGAGATGAGGATCATATGGGTATCAAGGTCCGGAAGCAAAATCCCCCTCCCACCTAAAGACAGGCACCGCTTTTTGGTTTGAAATTTGAGCCACTTCCTCCATGATCTTAACAGTCTTAGGCGTCCGTCGCGCACCGAAGAGCCATTCATTAGAAATGAAAGGGCATGATAGACGTCGATAGCAAGGTTCCGGAGGAGAGTGCTACCGTCTAGGCATGTTGACAGATATGTTAGGGGCAAAGTACATAGATCTGTGACAGAGCACGATGAAGCGAAGTCGAAGAGAATTTCAGCGCGGTAGATAAAACCCCTTCGCGCTAATGGCACTAGTCCCTCGCTTCCGCCGAAGGTCTTGGCGTCCCACACATCTCCCGACAGCAACCTCAGATCGTCGCATCACCGACTTCAAGAACTTATTCGGCGCCGCCAACACAGTGAGACACTTCTCTCCTCCTATCGGTGACATGCGAGACCGTGGGCAAACCTTGCTGACTCCGTGTAAGCCTACAGACAACACCTCAATCCTCCGCTACTGCCAAGCGCGCACCGCAATCATGTCTCACGAATCAGTCTGGTACTCAAGACCTCGCGGGTACGGGAAAGGGGCTCGCTCTTGGTACTATACTCTTCATATCCTCCCCCTCTCTTCTCCTACATATACTCAGCTCCTGGGTCCCATCTCGAGCTCGGCGAGATAGCGCCTTCAAATGTCTTACCACAGAGCTCGTATGTGGAAACAGATGCTGACAACTAGATGGTACAGCCGTATCTGCACCCACCCCGCCGGTCTTATTCGCAAGTACGGCTTGAACATCTGCCGTCAGTGCTTCAGGGAAAAGTCTTCGGATATCGGCTTCACAAAAGTAAGAGAGTTCATGACCCACACAGCGAGCCTGGGCGGAGCGGGGACCAATAGGAGATATAGCTAACGCGTTGGACCTGCAGCACCGATAGGTTAATGGAGCGATGAAGGTTGTATGGTGGATGCGTGGAGGGGGTTGGATGGAAGAGTAGTGGAGGCATACCAAGGAAAATGATGCTGGATCGATGCTTGAGGCGTACGGCTAGTCAGGCACGATAGACGAGAAAACATGATGCTTGCACATAAGCTCCCTTGAGCCAGATCGCACATCCTTCGCACAAATGACCGTGTCCTGCCTCCAAGTTTGATTTGTGGTCGAGCCGCCTACCTAAGGTCCCCCACTTCAGTTGTGGAGCTTCTTAGAGAGAGCATGACAGTCTCTGCTGGGGTCTCAAATGCCTTGAAAGTGAACTCACCGAAGTTGAGCAAATATTAGCAAGCACTAACTACTATCTGAAAGAAAGAAAAAAGATCCTGGACCTGGATCGAACCCATGACCAAAGGGCAAAAAGCTCAGGCTGGGGCCAACAATCTCAGAGCGTCGGTCTGTGAAAACCGCGGATCCCTCATTGTGATCATACCCTACGAAAACCCCAATGAAGGAATTTTATACCACAGCCCCGGAGGACGAAGCAAATGACCCTATCCTGTCTTAATATTTTGGGGTATAAATTTTGAAAAAAAACCCCCCTCAAAAATCAGTCAACCGCCGCTCGACTCCAAGCCAATCAACAAAAATGGCTCAGAGCATACGAGTACGCAGCTCCTACGGGAAACTCCAACGAACAGAAATCCCAGCACATCCCCGCGTGACGAACAGGTTTCTTCTGTCCTTCCCGGTTTGATCGCGCAGTGGCACGAACGGATGGAACTACCAGGGAACCCCCCGAATGGAGAAGATATTCGTCTAATGTGTTCCATCCCTCTTCCATCCCCCCTCCCCCCAACCTCCACTCCATCCAATCCCGTCTAATTCCCATCCCTCCCCTTTCCTTCCCATCCCTCTTCCATCAACCACCCAACAACCCCCCCTGTCTCTCTCTCCCAGCCCTCCTTCCCCCCCAAAAAAAGGACACAAATCACAACCCACCCTCCGCCTACAGACTCTTACTCCCCATTTCGACCCACCCACACGCACGCACGCACGCACGCACGCACGCACCAACCACCCAAGGCAGTTCAGAGCTCTGGCGAAGCGTCATTCGAAGACGGTAGTGGTAGTGGCTTTGTCAACCCCGTCCGCCAGGGGAGATGACGTCCATCAACCTCGTTCGCCAGAGGAGATAATATCTATCGAAGTAAAAGAGTAATTACTCGTTAGAAAATAAATCTTGAAAATACGTATAAGTTATAGCAGCGAACTGCGGTTTTTATAAGGCGAGTGAATCACGCTTCTACGATTGGAGAGTGAGGAGATTTTGTTTCGGGATAGAAACGGTCGATGATCCCCTATACCTTAAAGGTATATACTCGTGATGATGCGGCGGTCTCTGATGGAATTTTATCAACCTCGTCCGTCAGGGGCGATAATATTTATCGGAGCGAAAGGGGTGATTTTTTATTAGGAAACGTATCTTGAAATACGTATAAGTAGTAGCTGCGAACTGCGGTTTTTACAAGGCGAGTGAATTATACTTCTACGATTAAAGAGTGAGAAGATTTTATTTCGAGGTAAAAACGATCGATAATCCTCTATATATTAAAAGACATATACTTATGATAATACGGCGGTCCCTAATAAAGTTCTATTAACCTCGTCCGCCAGGGGAGATAACATCTATCGAAGTAAGAGGGCCATCAGGAGAGATAACGTCCATCGAAGCGAAAGAGTAATTACTCGTCAGGAAACGTTTCTTGAAATACGTATAAATTATAATTACAAGCTGCTGTTTTTATTAGACGTATAAACCACGCTTCTACAATTAAAGAGTAAGGATTTTTTATCTTAGATAAAATCGGTTAATAATCTTCTATACGTCAAATATACTCGTATATACTCTTAATAGTGTAGCGGTCCCTAATAAAATTCCATCAACCCCGTCCGCTAGGGGAGATGATGTCTATCGAAGCGAAAGGGTGGTTGCTGTTAAGATTTACTACAGCACCTGTGTTGAAGCTACCCCATATGGTGGCAAATAGGGGTATAAGTAGCCCACTCAGCACTCTAATAGCTACCTAATCAATCAATCCTTCATATGTTTCCAACAGTTGCTCGTCAGGAAACATATCTTAAAAATACGTATAAATTATAACTACGAGCTGCTATTTTTACAAGACAATAAATCACACTTCTACGATTGGAGAGTAAGAACCTTTCATCTTAGATAAAATCGGTCAATGATCCCCTATACGCCAAAGGTACGTACACGCCAAAGATACGTACTCGCCAAAGGTACGTACTCACTCGTCATGGTGCGACGGTCCCTGATGGAATTCTATAATGGGCGCCCATTCTATAATCCTTCCTGTAATACTATTCGCTATCGCTATCCCTACGCCCCGAACAACGACCGTAACGAACCAACGCCGGACTTCATAAAGTCCGTCACTCCCCTTCGCACCCGTATCAGTGCATCGCCAATCGACGCGAAAAGTAAACGACGCTCTCAAAGCCATCCAACATGCGTTTGTCCTAAAGTAACGAAAGCTTCCCCTGCAGTGCACCCTTTTCGGCCACGTGGACGCAGAATGAGAGCCCAAGCTTTCCAAGCCTCCATTCTTCGCCGGATGTGAAATCCATCTTCCAACGATGCATAACAGCTTTGGCGCCGGCTCAGCCGAACCCGTTCAACGGACTCGCAAAATCGGAACTCCCGTCATCGCTTCCACGGCTCTTCTCCACTGGACTTGTTCGTCTTCCCGCCTCTTTCTCACTGTTGCTCTGACTGTACTCACTGATATTCAGACTCCGATCCTCTGATCCACGCAAATCCCAAGTACGCTCTTCCTTTTCTCCACTCTCTGTCTCAACGGCTACATATACTTTTGCCGTGAGTGGTGAAGGAGTCGTGCATACCATCTCACTGTGCGGTCCTTCCTCCATCAGCGGCGCAACCTGAGCCAATTGACTCTCGGCGATGATAGCCCTCCTCTTCCAAAAGTCTGGACTTTCTTCTTGCACTTCCTGGACGTCGGTCTTGATGTCTGCGCTCTCCCATCCATTGATCTGAGCCACTCGACTTTCCGCGACGATAGCTCGCCTCTTCCAAGAATCCGGGCTATCTCCCTGCATATCCCGGACACCACCCGCCTGCTTTTCACCATCCTCCTGCTTGACAGACTCAGGCCTCTCTGTTGGTTCTGTATAGCCCGGATACATCATCTCGCTCTCCCACGACCTATCGGACAACTGCTTCAACCCCGACAACCTCCTCTCCGCCAACTCAGCCCTCATTTTCCAAAGGCTCAATTCTCTCTTCGCCTTCCGAACTTCGTTATGCAGACCGCCTTTCCCAAAGCTCCCTTTCGCTTTGACTCCAGCGGCGACGGGATTGCCACCCTGAACTTCTTCCAATGCTTCAATCCTACGGTCTTTTGCTTCCTTTTCTTCGCCCACCTGCTGCAGAAGGCGTTGAAGGCGGCAGATTTCGGCGTACATTGTTGCGTTGAGGGAGGCGTGACGCTCGAGAGGTTTAAGGGCCTCACTGGCATTTAGATAACTGTTGGAGCGAGTAGGGGAATCTTTTGGGTTAACGTAGATATTGAGAGATGGAGAGTCGGGGCGAGAAGGAGAGACGGGGCGAGCAAGCTCCGCAAACGATATAGTGCGGTTATGGACACGGCGGATCTCTGGTGGTGATTCTTGGAGATATGTGCGTAGACGACGG